TAAATGTACTCTCATTTTCTACTTAATATATATGTGACATGTTTTAATTGCTTAATATGTGACATATTTTCTACTCTTCTAATAAAATTTGAACGCACTTATTTTCTACTCCTCACATTTTTTGTTGGAGATAATGAACCACAATCGATTTAATATCCCAAAAATAATATTTATATATACACACACAAGTATATAAAATATTATTGGATATTTACCCGAAATATATATACACACACAAATATATATAAACGGATCCGAAGGTTATATATACATGTATATCTACGAAAAAGATATACCAATATATATTAACCAAAATTGAAACTAATAATCCTCGGATTATAAGTCCAATCCAACTAATATATCAAAGAGAGAGAACGGATTTTTGCTTAAAAGCATAATCCAAACGAGAAAGAAGGAGAAGGAAGAAAGAAATGTACGAGTTAGGCGAGTGCCTTTCTTTCCTTAAAACCTTATTTGCCACCTCCCAAAAGTGCTAGGAGCGTTGTGGCCTAGGCTTCCCAGGATAAAACGTACAACGGTTCGACGTTTGAGCACCCAAACGAACGAACCCGGCGAACAAGAGCACGGGCAAAACACAGTAGCAAGAAAGGAGTAGGAGCAGAGGTTTTGAGAAGGAAAATTGCTTATCTTTGTGTGTTGTGTACTCTCGTGTTCTTCCCACACTTGTTGTAAATCACTTGCTCCTACTACCTCTTCTTATATAGGAATTGGAGTATTAAATAGCATTTAGTAGGCATTCATGGCACGTTGGTAACATCTGAAACAGCTGGTCATTAGTGCAGGTTTAATTCAAAATTCAAAATGAATTAATACAGAGATTAATTCCGGTAGACCGAAGTGCTGTTCAGCCGCAGCGCACGACCGAAAGTTGGCATAACTTAGCCCGCAAGGCCAGCCAATTTCCGGACGACATTCGTGCCCGCAGGTGCCGGCGCACACGAGCTCAGGCTTGAATCAAGCCTCTCCGAAGTCATCTCTAGTTGGAATTTGATTTGCACACCCCCTCCCCCCCCCCCCCCCCCCCCGCGCGAGAGAGCCTCTATGCTATACAATTCTACAAGCTCTAAAAAAGCTCTTGTATAAAAGGGGGGTGAAATCCTCTTTCCAAATCAATGTGGGACAAAACTCACTTTTCCCTTACATTTTCCAACTCAATGGGTCTACTTTGAGAATCAATATCTCATTCACCCATTATCCGTTTTGTGCGTACAATATATTAATCTCTTCGTCTTACTACGAAGAATCCGAATCCACTTTCACTCGATCCAAATCGGAAGTGGACCCCACTGATAATTGTACCACAAAATAGCCACTTAACATGTCATTTTATGCCATTTTAATGCTATTTTTCCAACATTTTTGGTCCAATCCGTTTACCCACCAGGCCATCCGACCACATTACACACCA